CATTTGGGAACACCACATATACATATGGAGTTGGCCAGATGTGTGTAATTACTGTTAATGGTAATTTGAAAACAGATGCCGTTGTCGGACACACACAAACACACCGAACACACACACACACACACAGAGCACAAACATCATGCGCACACACCAAGAAACAAGTACACGATCGCTTCCATATCCTCCATTGTTGTGTGTGAGTTGTGTCGCATTGAAGATGACGCCACTGCAGTTTTATCTCAGCGTCGCTCCGCCCAAAAAGCCCGCCAAAAAGCTGATCGCCCCGCCTACACTGCGTTGCTAGCCCAGGTCCTAAACTGTAATGGAAATGCGCCACGGCCTGGGCCGGCCAGCGAGGCAGCCCGAGGCCAGAGCGAGGACGCTTAGGGACGCTTAAACGGGGCTACCCCGCTGCAGTGGAAACGCGCCATTAGTGACCGGAAATCTCCTTCATAAAACGAGTAATAGGGGGGTTAATCGGGCAGTTCGATGTGTCTCGAGGTGTGTGTGGTTAAAACATAGCAGCCTGCAGTCGCTCTTTAGCTGTTCTAATGAAAGTAAACACAGTGAAGGCGTTGCGTAGAAGGCACAGCTCTTTGCGCGCTGGTGCTGCACTTCTCAGAGGCGGAGTACACGTCCCGCTGCCTCCTGATGCTGTAGCGATTTCATGAAGTGAATGAGAGTCCGAGTTCGAAATATATCTAAAATAATGTATGCACTGTAGTGCCGAGAGATAGGGAGTCGGAGGCGGTGCAATGGAGGTACAAAGCTTGCTTTAATGAGCAGCAGAAATGTAGATGTTGTTGGGTCGCAGCCCGGGACGACAAGAGAGAGAGCCAGGAGGGCACACAACATAGATAAACACATATATGTCCGTGTGGAAACAATAGCACCAACTGTAGTTCCATGTATGAATTATGTCCCAGTGTATTAATAGGTGGTCAACACACAAGCACCCCCAGAATTCAAACATGGCAAAAAAAATCCTCGCGTCCGTGGAGGAAGCACCACAGGGGCCGAGGAGGGTGGGGCCGCAGGTGAGGACCGGGCCATGGAACGGGCCGTCGGAAGGGGGCCGCAGTAGGCGTCGTGGCGAATGAAGTCATCACCCGCCAGTCGGTGAAAGCCGGGTCGCTGAGTCGCGACGGGCGTCAACAACCCGGTGGTCCCCAGCAGGAAGGAGCGCTGCCCGGCCGCAGGCGAGGGCACAGCGGCGGCGGGCATGAAGTCCTCGGGAGGAAGGAGCGCAACCCGGCCGCAGGCAGACGTGCAACGGCGGCGGGCACGAAGTCCTCGGCAGGCGTCGAGGCATCCCCGGAAAGCAGGAGAGCAACCCGGCCGCAGGCAGACGTGCCGCGGCGGCGGGCATGAAGTCCTCAGCAGATGTCGAGGCATCCCGGGAAGCAGGAGAGGCCAGACAGGGTCCCGGAGCGCGCCACCCATGGGCCGATGGAGCATGGGCGACGTCCGGAACTGTCGAGGCAAGAGGGGGTCCAGGAGTGCGCCACCCAGGCGCCGATGAACGTGAGTGGCGTCTGGATATCCCCGGAAGGCAGGAGAGGCCAGACAGGCTCCGGAGCGCGCCACCCACGGGCCGATGGCAGCATGGGCGACGTCCAAAACCGTCGAGGCGAGACGGGGTCCAGGAGTGCACCACCCAGGCGTCGATGAAAACGTGAGTGGCGTCTGGAACCGCCATGGAGGTGGTGAAAAATGTGAGAGTGTCCACATGAGGTCAACCGGCTGGTCGAACCTCCTCTCCGGCACCAGAAAAAAAAAAAAAACTCAAAAGGGTCGATAGCCGTTAGCTGTTGCCGTTAGCTGGCAGCCACCGATAGCTGCTAGCCGTAGTTAGCCTACGTGGTTAGCTGCTAGTTGTCGTTAGCTAGCGCAGCTGGGACGTGCAGCCGCACGCCCCGAAGAAACAACCCCACGAGGTAGCAATCGGGTTCATCCCTACCCAGCAGGTCGTGCATCGTCCCCCCTGTAGTCGGAAGGCAGATGCGGGAATGGCGAGCAACATCCTCAGCCATTCCACGAGGCGCGCACCGAGACTCAGTCCGCGTGCCTGTAGCAGCCACGGTCGACTCCAAAAAATCCCCGGCATTTCGAGAAAGAAACCTGGGTTTCCTTTGCCGTGTTCGGGTCCGTCTCGGAAACTTCCCAAGACGCTGTCGGGGTCACCAATGTAGTGCCGAGAGATAGGGAGTCGGAGGCGGTGCAATGGAGGTACAAAGCTTGCTTTAATGAGCAGCAGAAATGTAGATGTTGTTGGGTCGCAGCCCGGGACGACAAGAGAGAGAGCCAGGAGGGCACACAACATATATAGATAAACACATATATGTCCGTGTGGAAACAATAGCCCCAACTGTAGTTCCATGTATGAATTGTGTCCCAGTGTATTAATAGGTGGTCACCACACAATGACTCTGTGTCATTGTTTTCCCAACTGTGTCTGTGCACAAAGAAATATTGCATCAAAGCCAATACAACGGAATAGTGTATGTAGTACCAGGGCGCATGATATGTGTGTGTGTGTGTGTCTGTGTGCAGACATTAAGATTAAACACATTTATTTCATTTGGGAACACCACATATACATATGGAGTTGGCCAGATGAGTGTAAATTACTGTTCATGGTAATTTGAAAACAAATGCCGTTGTCGGACACACACAAACACACCGAACACACACACACAGAGCACAAACACACACACACATCATGTGCACACACCAAGAAACAAGTACACGATCGCTTCCATATCCTCCATTGTTGTGTGTGAGTTGTGTCGCATTGAAGATGACGCCACTGCAGTTTTATCTCAGCGTCGCTCCGCCCAAAAAGCCCGCCAAAAAGCTGATCGCCCCGCCTACACTGCGTTGCTAGCCCAGGTCCTAAACTGTAATGGAAATGCAACACGTCCTGGGCCGGCCAGCGAGGCAGCCCGAGGCCAGAGCGAGGACGCTTAGGGACGCTTAAACGGGGCTACCCCGCTGCAGTGGAAACGCGCCATTAGTGACCGGAAATCTCCTTCATAAAACGAGTAATAGGGGGGTTAATCGGGCAGTTCGATGTGTCTCGAGGTGTGTGTGGTTAAAACATAGCAGCCTGCAGTCGCTCTTTAGCTGTTCTAATGAAAGTAAACACAGTGAAGGCGTTGCGTAGAAGGCACAGCTCTTTGCGCGCTGGTGCTGCACTTCTCAGAGGCGGAGTACACGTCCCGCTGCCTCCTGATGCTGTAGCGATTTCATGAAGTGAATGAGAGTCCGAGTTCGAAATATATCTAAAATAATGTATGCACTGCCATTTCCCAGCATAAACATTACAGTCTGCAATGAAACGGTTATCTCCTGTGCATGGCCGTATCTACCATTGAGGTCACCGAGGTCCGGACCTCGGTAATATTTTCCGAGCTGTGTAACAAAACTTGTGAAATAATTGCACTAAACGGGGTTCTTTGTAGTACTTCCATTTACTGACCATGGGGGCGCTGCATAACTACGTAGCCTCGATTAAAGCAAACAGAAGAAGACGACATGTATCAACAAACCACCGCAGACCGGACTTGAACCGGAGCAGCGGAGGAGTGATGAGGTATCTAGAGATCTGAGTCCAGCGGGCTGCTTGTGTTTCTGCTCATCAGGACGTCATATGACCAGCAGATCCTGTGTGAACGCCCCCCTAGCATGTTTGGACCTCGGTATTTAGGAAATCCTGCTCCTGTGTGCTCCACTTCCTACTTGGCGCTCCAGTAACTTTCTCGTGCGAGCGAGATACAGTATCTTTGTTTTTCTTTCATTGCCCTTTAGGGGCTCTGTACAATACAAAAACAAATGCAAATATTTAATTAAAAAAAGTCCTTTCGAGTCATCTGTCTTAAGTCATGAACACCAAGTCAAAGTCAAGTCTTTTATCAATGTTATCAAAAATATGCGACCACTGGTAATTAGAAAAAGAAAAGGTAGTAAAAGACATAAAGATATTAATAGATTCCATTAAATGGCTTCTCTCATATACATGTTTGTGTAATGTTCTATTACGTTTGAGCCCACTTGAAGAACTTAACTCAAAGGAATAAATGCAGTTATAGAAATGTTTCTTATCACCACACTCATACACACTGTTAGTCTAAACATTGAGGTATTTCCCACTGAAACTGATTTGTTTTTGTTTTGGATGACAGAGGTTTTATTTCTCAAAAATGACTTCAGTTATAAGGCTGCTTTGGTTTAAGCAATGATACAAAGAAAGAAAGATTGAGTTTAAAAAAGGTGTTTTTATTTCAAAACAATTTGTCTTTTTAAACGGTAAAATGTATTTTGCAAAATCTCCACCTATTTCTAATGTGTAATGCATGATTGTAGGGAATTAGGTTGATGTGCTTTTAACAAACCATCTCTGGCATTTTCCAACATGAAATAAAATGAGTCTCATGTCCATCCATGTGGCATGTTAACATACAGAGGAGCACCGAGATATGCAAGTCCACTGGACTGTATAAACCCTCATGACATAAGGCAAGGCAAGGCAAGGCAAGTTTATTTATATAGCACTTTCCAACACAAGGCAATTCAAAGTGCTTTACAAAAAATGAAAGAGATTAAGAAAATGGCATTTAAAATCAGTCATTAAAAAGAAAAGCTAATAAAATAAACATTAAAAGAAAAAATACATGGATAAAAGTTACAGTGCAATTAAACATTAAAAGAAAAAGTACATGGATAAAAGTTACAGTGCAGTCTAAGATATGAATAGTTCAATTAAAAGCAGCGACAAAAAGAAAAGTCTTCAGCCTGGATTTAAAAGTAGTTAGAGTTGCAGCGGACCTGCAGGTTTCTGGGAGTTTGTTCCAGATATTTGGAGCATAATAACTGAAGGCTGCTTCTCCATGTTTAGTTCTGACTCTGGGGACAGAAAGCTGACCAGTCCCTGAAGACCTGAGAGATCTGGATGGTTCATAATTTAGCAGGAGGTCAGAAATGTATTTTGGGCCTAAACCATTCAGTGCTTTATAAACCAGCAGCAGTATTTTGAAATATATTCTTTGACACACAGGAAGCCAGTGTAAAGACTTCAGAACTGGAGTGATGTGATCCACTTTCTTAGTGTTAGTGAGGACTCGAGCAGCAGCGTTCTGAATTAGCTGCAGCTTCCTAATAGATTTTTTAGTGAGACCTGTGAAGACACCATTGCAGTAGTTGAGTCTACTGAAGATAAAAGCATGGACAAGTTTTTCCAAATCCTGCTTTCCAAATAAGGCACCTATTACACATGATTGTGTTTCTTAAATTATAGTTTACAAAAAAACTCTTCCTAAGGAGGAGGTACTCAGGTACTCATTTTTCCTAAATTATTTCTTATCCTTTTTTTTTCTTAGTTGTTTAGATGGCTATTAGGCTTTTACGGTACATGATTCATTGTCACAACAGAGTATCAATAGTTCCACTTGCATACAGTTTTTTGCTACATTACCCATCTCTGATTCAGACACTACGCTATTCATACCACATTATGTCTGAATCTCAATCTCAAGTCAAATGTTTTATGATTTTACTGTTAAAACACAAGTTATTGTTTTAACTGGTAATCTTAAATGTATACTTGATTTGTGCAAGGGGCTTTGTCTAATCAGTACTATTGCACTTTGAAATGTGAGAACGGTTTACCCTTCTCACTTTTTGTCACTGAATTGAGCAGCGGTCTGAAACCATAACTTCTCCACCTGCTCCTTTCCGAGCTCCCATAGCTGACTGAGAATGTGGACACCCTTCTTGGATGTAATCATCAAATACTCTTCGTTCTCAGGATGCAAGCTCACAGAGTAATGAGCTAAAACTATCGACTGGCAGAAGCGGGACAGCACCAGCACATAGAGACAATCTTTCTCAGCTTCGTTGAGGGGAAGGAAACTTTCCCAGCCCGCAAGGACAGGTCCACCCACCTCTATGGGTTTAGGGTGCTCAATCATCATGTACATGATAGTGATGGCTAGCTCGTGGATGTAGTAGCCGCTGTGCATGTCCCCAAAATCAAGGATGCCAGAAATCCTATGGCCATCTCTCCCATCAGGTTGTACAAGCACATTGAGGTCATTGAAGTCACCGTGGTTTATGCCTTAGAACAATAAAAAAACAATAAAACGTTAATATGAATCAAAACTACTTATCACTCATGTATACGGTGACATTCTATACTGACAGTATTCAAGGTGCATATAGGCGTGTCAAGGGAAACGAGTAGAAAAGTGTTTGTAAAGTTAAAATGATACTCACACTTTCGGAAATTGCAGCGTTTCGGGGTCACAGAGGTCTTGTACTGATAAAGGACAGATTTCACAACCTTCTCCAGAGGATTTCCATCAAATAAATGGATGTATGGTTCCAGCAGGGGAAGATTTGACAAACTCCATATCAAATTCTCTCTCTCCAGAACGGCAAGATGAGGGTGCACCATCTAGAAAAGAACATAACATAATAATATCAGAAAGCAGGAAGAAGAAGTTAAAGTCAGAAGTAAAAGGAGGATAAGTGAACATTTTCTCAGCAACACTTGCAGTACAGCTTTAAGCTAAGCAGTGAAGGGCTAGTGCTTTATTATATGGGTTAGTCCATGTAAAGGCAAGTTAGATTAGAGACTTTTAATGCCACTTGTAAAGAGATTTAAACCAACTTCACAATATCCAAAACACTTCCATATACCTTGCCTGGTGCCTTCGTCATGCCAGAACATCTTGGTTGGGTAGCCAATTTTCATTGAATTCCTTTTCAAAAACGTCCCCATGTTGTCGCTAGTTATCATAAGCATCCGGGCCCCAAACTAACAATTAGTGATGTTTGTTTAACTTTCCTGATCTGCCTAACATCAGCCTAGAAGAGTCATTCCAAAAATAGATGAAACCAATTAAATTGAGGTTTAATAGTGCAGTTAAAGGTGGGGTAGGTAATTTTGCAGAAACCAGCTCGAGTGCGCTAGAATTTGAAAATACACAACCGGAAAAAATCTGCCACTTCCTTACAGAGCCCCTCCTCCAACACACACGAACGCGCACGTGACCAATGAGGGCACGAGATAAGTTTGTGCACAGAGGAAGGCTGACAGGCAGGTCAGAGTCCTGCACGGGTCTGATTTTCAAGACCCGCTCCCGCCCCGCACCCGCGACGTGCAATACCGAACCCGCCCCGCTACCCGCACATATTGCCAATTAGTTCCGCAACCCGACCCGACCCGTCGGCACAAGATCCGCAACCCGACCCGAACCCGCATAGCCTATGAGCAGTGAAAACGTGCAATTATTAACACACGCAGTTTCATATTTGTCTCAGAAAGCGTGGGATGTTGGTTATTTCCTCCATCTAGGATGACACAAAAAGCCTCCCAGACGTTGGATTTCGCTCTTGAGGAAGTGTTATTGAAAATGCTGTATTCTCCGCTAGAGAGCTCCACCTCAGCCATTTCGAATGTGGCGCGCACAGCAGCAGATTGATGCGCTGCAGAGGTTATGATTATGCGCGGTCCCGCGGGGGAGAGGTCTGAGGATTTTAAACATTAAACTAATTTATTATTATTTTAATATATTTATTATGCAATACCCGCGACCCGACCCGCATCATCTTTGTTTTACCCAGAACCGAACCCGGAAAAAAGCGTTTGAAAAAATACCACCCGCGAATCACCTTTTTTGCGGGTCACCCGCGGGTAGCCGACCCGATGCAGGACTCTGCGGCAGGTAGGCCATCCAGTTATTTTAGCCGGGCTGGCTAAAATGTTTGGTCATGCTTTTTACAGTACTACGGATTTTTTGTCAAAGCACTTACGATATTCATTGCTACCGGGATGTTAAGAGCCTTCCATGAAATTTAACAAAAAGTGTATCTCGAGCCGGTTTCTCAAACTTACCTACCCCACTTTTAAAATGACAATGTCAAAAAAAATCTCATTACCGTAAAATAAATTATTAACCAGGTTAATGTATAACTTAAGAAGTGTAATTCAAAACGACAGCAGTATTGGTAGATATTGTCATTGAAGACAATTTCATAAGGTACTATTCTACATCGCTTTGATGTCACAATACATGGAAATTAGATTTAAGGGTATGAGGAAAAATAATGCCAATGATCAAAAAGTTTTATCGTTATACCTCTTGTAGGATTGTGTCCATTGTGGCTGCCATCTTGCCAGTTTCATACAGTAACTGCGGTGTTAGAGGAACCTTGGATATCGTGGTTCCAGGCAAATAAGTAAGCAGCCGCACCATGTACTTCTGACTGCCATAGCCGCAATCTATCAAAGGTAAAGACAGGATAAGTGTTACAGCTATTCCTCTCACTCACTTAGCCATCATAAAGCATGAACTGTCTAGTGTGGCCTTGCTCAGGGTCACACTTATCACTTTAGAGCGGGAATATTAGAGCGTAGGCATTATGTTTAAAACTGTGGGATTTTTTTCAAACTCAACACATTCACCACAAAACCTTACAATCAACCAGGAAAACATTATGCATCTTTTGCCTGGGGACATGTAGGGAGACAACACTTAACACTGACTTTTGTGTCAATACATTACACATAAACTATCATCTGAATAAGCAAATGTAGGAAATGTCTTTTTTTAGAGTGCTGAATCACTAATTCCTAATGTTTTGCCGGTGTGACTGATCAAATACCTATTTCTTCCAGGCTCATCAGCTGTCCTGAAATGTTGGGAAGGGCTGTTTGGGCAGGAAGTCCATTCTGGTGCAGGAAGGACATGGCATGCGTCTGCACCTCGATCAGGGCGGGGTTTTTACTGTCTTCCGAGTTCATTATCTTCAGGACATACTTGCCATCCTCGATGGGGTCTATGAAGAAGTTTTGGTCATCGTAGCTTGGAAGAGAGCTGATTTCTGATGCCGTCAGCCCAAAGAGCCTCTTCACCGTCTCAGCCACCTGAGACTGGCTGAAGTTGGGCGTGGCGTGTTTCACTGACATTATTGCTGAATGAAAACAACATGGTATCACAAAAATGACACAGATATTTGAGAAATAAAAGCATTACAGTTACTTGTACATAATAGTAAATGTTTAACAATACAATTACTTTGTACAGCTTCTTAAAGAAATAAACAGTAAATGTGTTTTATCATTATTTCACATCCTTTTTTATGAAATAATGATAAAGAATCTGATCTCGAAATCTAATGCTGAAGTGTTAATAAATAAATTAAAGTTCCATGCCTTTTTACTTATATTTGTTATTTATAATTAATTAAATAATTTACCCTACTCATAGGACACACATTGTGAAAGTCTAGCTTTTCCAATGTGATGATTTCTAGTTTTCCTTTGTCTATCTATGATGATGTTCTCTGCAAAAAGAAGCTAAAGAAAAAAATACATATGGTATTTTGAAACCTTTGAAAGTCTTATGCACATGCAAATGACTGTTTACTGATTTAAAAAATAAACGTGGTTGCAGTAGTCCAACCTCTTGCAAAGTGTGACCTTTATTTGAAAATATACAGCTGCACACTGGATGTCTTTTCCATACGTAGCCAACTAGCTCTATGGCAATTATTAGCCCACATGCTATTATTTATTGAATTTTCTTCTGGTGGTATTAATGGCATCAACGCAGATTAAACAAGAAAATAGATCGACATATACTTCACAATGTACACGTACATCGTAGTTTCTAATATATCTATCTATATATAAGTCACAGTTTGAGCAAGGACTTGATCTACGTAAAATATATGTTGCATTCAACACTCTGCATGAGATAACAGTATGCAAGCTACATGAAATAGCAGCAATAACGGGTTTCAATAACATACTTTAATCAACTGTCTGTAAACCTACCTTACGATATGTAAAAAATACGGTTTCACGTCACATAAAAGCTGTAGGCCTACATTGCTGGGGCCCAGTCCAATAGTCCATTTAGCTTAGGAACCTTCCTAACCAAGTGAAATGACCCGGAAGTACGTCAGTGGCAGCCATGATAAGTGCCGTTCCAATCCTCCAAATGAAAGGAAAGGAGGTTTCAAACTTCCTTTATAACCTCCTTTAGCTTAGGAACCACTGGACCTCCCTTACCGAAAGGAGAGGAGAAAATGCTGCCCCACAATGCATTGCAGCCGCAGCATTTGACGTCACACAACAGTCGGCCGTTCACGGACACAAACGATAATGGGAGAAATGATATCATGAAAGTAACGGTGCTTATTACGCATTTTAAAACGTATGTGGTAAGTTGCCAAAGTGCTTTGTTTTGAACGTTCATCAGTATTATAATCAAAAAGAGAAATATGAACGTTAGTTTTTACTGAAATGATCAAATAAAGTCAACATTTCACTAAGCTGTGTGGGGTTTGTTCAACTTTTAAAAGATGTTTGAATGGTGATATACACAGTGATAGATGTTAAGGACTAACGTTTATAATAAATACATTTGTATTTATTTTAAGATATTTTAATAGTTCATACAATCATACGTATTGGGATCATTTGTATAAATGTGGACCGGAGGGAGAGGGTGACGAGCATAAGTTTCACTTTCCTTTTTTATTTCAATTCCAACTTTGGTCATGAAGAATATGTTTCTCTGTTGTCCCCGTTCATAAAGCATAAAACAACAGCATCAGAGCACGGTGCAGAGTCTCTAGATGAGTTTACAGTAGTCCCTCGTTCTTATTAAACATCCATGTTGTAGTCCGCTGTATAGAAAACTGTAGTTTCCATAGTTTCCCCACAACAGCAGACGCACACAATGACGTCCGCTGGCGCATCATAAACACGTCGGATAGTGAAAGTGCATTCGGATTCTCTAAAGCAGTGGTTCTCAAAGTGGGGTCCGCGACCCCCCGGGGGTCCGTGGCACTCTGCCAGGGGGTCCGTGAAAAGTTTTCAGATTCATTAGTTTTTTTGGGTTTTTTTTGTGTAACGCAACACTTTTGGAGAGAGAGGACGCTGGCGTTGTCTGTTCGCCGCTTCTCTGTCCGAAAATGTATCTGCCGAATTTTGGACCAACGTTTCTACCTCAGTTTCCATACGTTCAGTGGCTTGCACACGCTGTTCTGGACACATTTGTAACACCCGATCGCAACTTTTTACGGATGCTCCGCTTCCGACCTGTCCACCCTACACCTGCTAATGTTGCTCCTGCTTCAGGGCTAACGCTATCGATAACGTTAGTGGCTCCATCTGACGACAAGCCCGATTCTCCGTCTCATTTTCCCGTTTTGAGTCCCGATCCTGCTTCACTGTATCACCTGCTTAGCTGCTGTTTGATTTTGTTCTGCCACAAAAGACACAACAACGGTCCTTTCGCAATTATGCCACATCAAGGTGGAACGCTCTTCCCACAACTGTAAAGGAAAGTAAAACTATACTTACCTTCAAAACCTCTCTTAAAGAGCACCTTCGGGGGAGAGCATTGCAAAACTGGCCCCGGTAATGGTACAAATCTCAACCTGTCGTTCAATGGACAGCTTCCCCCCCCCCCCCCCCCCATCTATGTATATACTCGCATTTTAGACTCTGTTACTAACTGTATATCTGTAGACTTGGTATGTCTTAAATGTCCGGTTAGGATGTATTAGAACGACATCTAAAATGCAAATTGTAAACACGCAATCTGTATGTAAAAAAAAAAAAACACCTGTATGTAAATTGTAAATAAGCCATCTGTATGTCAAATATGTCTTATATGTCTTAAATGAATTGGAAATGGGGGACCCTGATGTAAACAAGACGAAAGTCTTTCTCTGGTCTGCATCCCCTTAACAATTGTATGTTTTGAGCTGTACTGTACTGTACCCAATATACAAGCTGTTAATAAACTTTTCAATCAATCAATCCACCCAGCCAGTCTGACGGCGATTAGAAGCTAGCCTAGTTCTACCTGCTCAGGCTAGCCTGCTCTGGCCACCACCGGTGCTCCTCTGCGGCAAACGTCTTCAACTTCCACCATCTCTCCTCAGTGCTGTCCGTCCTTGAGTCACTTCCTGGACAGGCTGCCTGCTGTCCTGGTTCATCTGTACTCTTGGCTGATAGCGCATTCTCCCGGCCGATCCGCGACCACAGCTAACGCTGTGCTAACGTTAGCATCATACCATCGTGATGCTTCGTTACTCCGCCTCGCAACTTTTTAGGATCAACCACTTCACTACACCCCCTCTATGTCTGTCAGTCATTGAATACCTCGGGCTGTTACGAGTTGGCAGACCTAGGTATGTCCACAGAGGTTCCAAACGTGGGTTTGTTTACACCGGCTCAGCTGACACTATCCCAACTGTGTGGTCCCGGCGCCGCCCACTTACGTCATCACAACAAACCACACGTGTGCAGTGTTATCCTGAAGCCCTTGGCCCGTGTTGATGGCATCACTGTTTTACCAGCCATTGCAACATATAACAACTCCCACACATTCATGTTGTTAAATACCCGCTCCCTTAACAACAAAGCATCACTTATTAATGAAATCATCATTGATAGGAAATTGGATTTTCTCTGCCTCACTGAGACATGGCAAAACCAACAGGACTTCCTCACACTCAACCTAGCCACCCCCCCAGGTTATGCTTATCTCCAACAGCCCCGCTCCATTGGTCGTGGTGGTGGGCTGGCAGTCATCCACAGAGCAGATATCCCTGTGTCAATCAGCTGATTGTGACGAATAAAATCTCACTTGAGTGCATTGCCTTCTCAGTGGCTGCCCCCTCAAAGCAGCAGGTCGTCCTCATTTACCGCCCCCCCAAACCTTCCACGTCATTCATGTCTGAGTTGTCTGAGCTTCTCACCTCAATCTGCTCCATGTCCCCATCCACACTACTGCTAGGTGATTTTAACATCCACGTGGACTCCAGAACCTGCACCTTTGCCACTGAGTTTCTGTCACTATTGGAGTGCTTTAACATCACACAGCATGTCCAAGGTCCCACCCACACTAAGGGCCACACCTTGCGTGTCTTCACTTGCAGAGAGAAGCAATCGGCTTCATGGACTGCCTTGCATCACTCCAATAGTGTCCAGAGCTGGCTGCCATTACAAGTAGTGGTTTGGGATTGTAGCAATGCAGTTGCAGTTGTTTTGCAATTTACTTGATATATGTTGCAATGCAGGCATGTGTTCAATTGTTTATAGCCTGCATTTATTTTGTGATTTGACTTTTATAAATCATTTAACTAAGAGTGAAACACTTGATGTGTTATCTTTACGTGTGTGTGTGTGTATGTTCTGAAATGCACTTCAAATGATCACTTTTCTCTTGATTTCCCTTTGATATTTTCTTTAGGTACAGTGTTACTTGCAGCTAATTGATTGATTGTTTTATGGGTATTCTGTGTTGAGATGGTGCAAATATTTTTAATACATATCTAATATATTTCTAATACATTTCTCTTGTGTTGTTCTTTCACATAACTAAGACTATAGAAGTGTAAAAAATAGGCTACGTCAGATTATTCCAAGGGACATACCTGTCAAGTCAATTTTTATTGATATAGCCCAAAATCACAAATCAGAATGAGGGGGTCCTTGGTGTATTCTCTATCTTGTAAGGGGTCCTTGGCTGAAAAACAATTGAGAACCTCTGCTCTAAAGTACCGCGGTCTCTTCTCCTAAGTCCTTTTGAATTCTCCTATCCACTATCCCTTAACCCCGTGACGTTTCACTCAGAGGTCAAGGAATAGGAGATAGGGTTAGAATTTAGGAGCTAATTTTTTGGATTATCGGAACGCAACCCTGGACTCTTGGAACACATTATGCACAGAGCTGTAAAACTATATCAACATCCGGTGCATTTACGACGCCGGAAAAGTGAAGACTATTGGTTTCAAAATAAAAGGCTTAGTGGATTATATCAATTTTAAGGCCCAATCCCAAACCACTCCCTCGACCCTACCCCTCCGTGACGGAGTGAACTCCGTCTGTAGCCACACTCGCAGCTCAACGAGGCTCCCTCCTGTCAGATGGAGGGAGTAAATACAGCAGCAAGCTTTGGGACGGCCTCCCCTCTTTCCGGCAGAAACAGGAAATGCCGTAACTGTATGTAACAACGGTTTCAAATCAGCATCTCTTAGAAAAAAAAGTTTAAATTAATAACTCAAATAAAACTCCAAACATCTTTCATTGTGTTTCAAAGCTCTTTTAGTTTTAAACCTGATGTTTATAAGCTTCTTAGTTTTTGCAACGGTCTGTAAATATACACAACTTTATTATAAAATGCACATGTTTACCTTTTTCTAGACTAAACACAGGTATGATCCTAAGTTAAAAACATATGAGGTCATCATGAGGTTGTTAACATTGTAGTTTATCAGTGGATGTTTGCCGGAACTACTTTTTAACAGCTTGTTTCCCGACGGACACACACAGCGTGACTCCGGTCAGGTAGAGACCGGTCTCAAGTCAGCACCACTGCAGACTCGCTGTTTGAGGGCTTGATAGCCCACTCCCCCTCCACACTCGTTGCTTTGGAACAGCCCTCAATATGGCGGACCCTCCGCGTGAACGCGCAAACGGAGGGGTAGGGTGTAGGGGGCGGTTTGGGAATGGGCCGGAATCAACATATTTATGATAGCAGCGAGGATTTTTGTCTGAACTATAGTGACATTAAGTTTGTCCAACTTAATTGAAAAACATTTCCAATGGCAAACAGCATTTCTAATTTCTAATCCAAATGTTGCTCTTACATTGAGCCCATATAGGCCAGAGTCCTGCACGGGTCTGATTTTCAAGACCCGCTCCCGCCCCGCACCCGCGACGTGCAATACCGAACCCGCCCCGCTACCTGCACATATTGCCAATTAGTTCCGCAACCCGACCCGACCCGTCGGCACAAGATCCGCAACCCGACCCGAACCCGCATATATATGAGCACTGAAAACGTGCAATTATTAACACACGCAGTTGCATATTTGTCTCAAAAAGCGTGGGATGTTGGTTATTTCCTCCATCTAGGATGACACCAAAAGCCTCCCAGACGTTGGATTTCGCTCTTGAGGAAGTGTTATTGAAAATGCTGTATTCTCCGCTAGAGAGCTCCACCTCAGCCATTTCGAATGTGGCGCGCACAGCAGCAGATTGATGCGCTGCAGAGGTTATGATTATGCGCGGTCCCGCGGGGGAGAGGTCTGAGGATTTTAAACATTAAACTAATTTATTATTATTTTAATATATTTATTATGCAATACCCGCGACCCGACCCGTATCATCTTTGTTTTACCCAGAACCGAACCCGGAAAAAAGCGTTTGAAAAAATACCACCCGCGAATCACCTTTTTTGCAGGACTCTGATATAGGCTACTTCACACACTCAAAATGTTAACTTAAAATGGTTCAGGGGCGGTTCTAGGGGGGGGGGGGGGGGCACAATTAAATATCGTCTGCCACAAATGGATCTCATAAAAATAATGATTTTTTGTTTTTTGTGTTTTTTTAATTTTGGTGGTCCAATGGATAGTGAGTGGGCTGATTTTCCGAAGGTTGCTAGTTCAAATCCCGCCTGGAACACCACTACTTGTGTGCCCTTGAGTAAGGCACCTAGCCCTCAGTTACTCCAGGGAGAATATCCCTGTAATTGGTCATTGTAAATCGCTTTGGAATAAGGCGTCTGCAAAATGCCTAAATTGTAAATTATATTTTTGGAAGAATAAACCCCACAGATCCTCAACTCCAGTGTGTCTCACTCATTAACAACACAACACAGAGCAACAAGAACGTTGTCTACAGTAGCTATGAACTCGCATGTATTTTCTTATTTCAAATCAAATCAAATCAAGTTTTATTTATATAGCACATTTATAAACGATTTTTGGTCGAGCCAAAGTGCTGTACTTAATCCAGAACTCAGGATAGAGGATCCAAGACACAGGACTACAGCAAGAGGATCAGCCTCGACTCCGGATCCCGGCGTAGATATAAACAAGAAAAAAAGATTTGTCTGTGTTAATCGGAACAAGAGAATACACAGACACAGACAGAGAAGGAAAAGGTCATTGGATAACAGTGGCGAGCCGTGACTTTTATACCTAGGCCCTCTGACCCCCCTTCCCTCGAAAAAAAAGAAGAGTTATTACGTCTCACCGTATACTTCAGCGGAATATCAAAACAGCGGCCCGGGGTGCAAAACACATCAATGACAGCGACCCTCTACCACACAAAACAACACCATTTATATAAACACCTATCATGACAGGGCACCCACAGCCAAGTAACAATTACAAATGAATTAAGTCGGCACGGCGGCCCACATTGAAAATGACTTAGGCCTACCTTTGATGATCAAATCACTTAAACACAAAGTCCATCCTCCTGTCCTTTTGGATGAAGCACTTGATGGCGGGGTCATGCAGCTGATCCTTTGCCACTCCAGTTCATCATCGTAACTCAATCTTGAAAATGACTCGGTTAATAATTTTGCAAACAATGTCATCACTATTACTGACATGAGCCATCATAAACGAACTTATGCTAATCATAAATCTATCGATCATAAATCTATCGATTAGATTTATGATTAGAAAATAATAAAAGTAGGGTAGACATGTGGATATTATCCGGCTGAACAAAACGTGCATTTATCTAACAGGTTCGTTTTCCACAGACCTTATTGCAAGCTATTTTCCAAAATCCTATGGAGAAATCCCATTGCTTTCTGTCGAGGGAATCCGAGCGCAGCTTACTTCCGGGTTTTAGGATGCGTCACTGCACCACTTGCATAAGAGGTTTCTCAATACCCGGAAATGAATTTCAGTGCGCCATGTTGAAGGACATCTCATTTCTCTAAATGCACTTCGAGGACCGAGCATCGAGGAGGCTCTCTGGAGGAGCTCTGTTACAGCCGCTGTTACACCTTGTGCTGTTAACTCTGTCTTGTGTGTATATGTGAATGAGGTGTGCAGTCCATCAGCTGTTATTGGCCGTCCCGACCTCGCAACATCCGCGGTGATTGGACGGACGTCATCCAATCCCCGCCCGCTCCTGCCACGTCATCCGGGGGAGGAGTACAAAGGCCGGGCACGGACATCATTCTGGAGGCTCTGTATTATGGGACAGACGCCTCAAGCCTCTCGCTATACTACCGCAATACTGTGTGATTCGTTAGACTGCCTAGCAGTGGGTTTAGTAGGGCTCTGTGTTAGTTACACTGAGTAGTAGCGTTGTGTTTAGCATTCTTATGTATATTGCTTCGATCCAGGTGACTAGCACCTGTAGACCATCATTTGTGTGTGTCGTACTTAGATCCAGGTGATTAGCACCTGTAGACCAGTACTTGTAT